TGTAATGATGGGGATCAGGAAGATGAGTGAACGCATGATGACTGATCTGCAAATGACAACTGCCTACAAACACAATCAAAACACAGGCCCATGACTTATGACAATCTGCATATGCCATAAATCAGCGGTTCTCAACTGGTTGGGTGAGAATTTCCCCGTCAATGTAACATAAAAAATAATTAAATAAAAAGTACAATACAGTTTTTTACAATCACTTTGCTACTATTTTCAGAACCTTGATGTCATTTTTCAAAACTCTAGACACAAAACTCAAAACGATAATCACTTGTAACACAGGCTGTCTAATGTTCAAAACACTGCATTGTCCATTCACATCTTTAAAGAAATCTTGCACTTGCACAATCATTGGTTCAAAAAACAAATTAACTGTGAAATACCATTGAAACATAACTATAGATCACCCACACACAAGCAACCGATAGTTTCACTGTGTCATTGTTCGTACAATCATTAAATATTGTAGAGCAAAATAGGTGATACAGGTTTCATTATGGTCTACATGTACAGTAAATACATCTCTGTAAAAGCAGTAGTAGAGAGAATATTACAGACACAGTGGAATCATTGTGAACAAAGTTTGTAATATATTGATGCAAAACACTACAGTACAATCACAACATGGTTTTTTGAATCAAAGCAAAAATAATTAGCTATGAAATAGAAAAGAAAAGACAGTACTGTAAAACATCAAATGCAGTGTTCCTCAACTTGCTGTAAGAAACTAAACAGGAGTGATTACTGTACTTCTACACTGTCATCAACTCTGTGTTGTGGATTTGGCCACAGGTTCTCATCTACATCACAATGGATGTTGGAAAATGACATCTTGGAAAAAACCTTTGGCATGGCGAGTCCAGGCCTGACACTGCTCTGCTGTGATTGGCAGAATTGGACACGCAGTTACAAGGGCCTGCATCTATACAGTACTGTACTGTCAATACTGTACATAGTCTGAAAAGGTGGTACAGTATTTGGCACCATAGACACAGTGTCTGATGAAGCATTACAGTATGATATAAAATATTAGGCTACATCCATGGATATTGTAGTCAAATTGGTTCATGCCATGCTAATTGGTGACAATGAATCTCATTATCTTGAAACTTTCATGATTTACTGTAAACATGGAAGATTGTGTGTCTGTTTCCATACAACTATGCATTAAGAGTAATGCAACAGTTACTTATCATTTTGAGCAGTTGTATCAATTGATAGTTAGATCATTGTAAGGAAATGAATAGACACTCATTTGAAATGTAATGTGTGAATTGCCTTTTGAAATAGTAGTACTGTGATGTTAAGTTGTGTCATATTGAACAGGTGATCTTTGTTGAATGAACAAATGATCTAAGTTTTATGTGTATTGTATCCAAGCAATTGAGAAAAGGGTTAGAGTTTTGAAAAATGTGCTTTTTGATCATTGGTTGTGAGTTTTGTGTCTAGAGTTGTGAAAAATGACATCAAGGTTCTGAAAATAGTAACAAAGTGATTGTAAAAAACTGTAAATAGAATTGAATGTATTAACTCAATCAGATACTTTTATTTAAAATTAAAAATAAAATACAAAAAATATAGTATTTTAATAAAACATTTTTTTGCATATAATACAATTTTGGTGCTCTGTGCTTCCCCTTCTAGTCAAATATAAACTCAATATAAAGTCCTGAAGCAAATCAAGTTGAGAACCACTGCCATGAATAATATATAGGTTGAATTCAGGACCAAAATTGTCACAATTTACCTGAATTCACCATATATACTCTATGTAATAAACTGAAAACAAACATGAACATGGAGTCTGTCCATTAAATGGTGTCAGTGGAGGTGAAATATTAATAGGGAGCAATTATCGGTTCTCATATTCATGCGCGTATGAATGAGTTTCAGCAGTAATTGGCTGCCAAACTCATCACTGGTCAAGCCGTTTCACAGAGCAAGCAGCACAAGCAATTATACGTGGGTTTTTTCACTGATGATGTTATTTTGCTATGAAAACTTCTGAAGGAAACCGTTCCAAAACATAACCATAGAGCTAGATCTGTTCAGTGTTATGTAATCTCATAATGAGTGTTCAGTATGATTCTCCTCATTGTATTTCTGACACTGCACAGATAATGTATCCCACAATGCACTGCTGACGACTGATCTAGAAACAATATTAGGTGCATTTTTCAACATCACTTGTATCGTTGATCAAACTGTCAAAGACATTTTAGCACAATATGAGACCAACCTTACAAAAAAGCAATTCTATTTTCGCCATCTAGAATTATAATGTTGTTCAACTAAACATGCAACTGTCATTCATGAGTTCTCTCCCGTGGCCTCATGGGATAGTAAAGTGTCCATCGGATACACACTTCAGAATCTCGTTTTTCGATTACTATGCATTCGGAAATACTACTCTGAGTCTGTAGTAAATAAAGTCGGTAAGTTTTCGATTTTGAACGCAGCAAAAATGCTTATTAAGATTAGCCGGATGATAACATGAGATAAAATGAACCAAATACTGATGATTTGATCTTTAGCCGTGTTTCCACTGTCGGGCCAGAGCGAGCCAGGGCTTTCAACTGGCCGGGTGGGGCTAATAGCCTCGCACCTGGAGCACCGAGCCCAAAGCCACTCTGCGCTTCCACCGTCGGGCCAGAAGCTCCACAGCACTTCACTAAAACACGCCTCAACGTCACACAAACCCATTATTTCACCAACAAATGGAAGTTTTATCAGAAAACTAATCAGAAAAAAAGCACTGAAAACGTCCCGGGTTACGTATGTAACCCTAGTTCCCCGAAGGGACGGACGCTGCGTGTAATCGCAGTGGGAACGCCCCCAGCGTGACGCGTCTGAAGCATGAATGAAATCAGTCAATGGAGAGAATGAGCGTACGGCGAGTGACGTCATAGACCAGGAAGCTATAAATATCCCCTGAGCACACCACACGCCAGCTTAAAAGTCACTGAAGCAGCGACCCAAGGGGATGCCGAGAGTATGGCAGGACACGCAGCGTCCGTCCCTTCGGGGAACTAGGGTTACATACGTAACCCGGGACGTTCCCCTTCAGGGACTACCGCTGCGTGTAATCGCAGTGGGAACGCAATACCCACATCCCCATACGACCAAATCCCCGTCGTGTGTCATTAGGAGACACAAGCCGACGAGAGAACCTGAGCCCCGGGAGTGGAGCTAAGGTCAAGGGAATAAAATCTGACGAAAGTGTGCGGTGAGGACCAGCCTGCCGCATCACAAACGTCCTGAAGAGAAGCTCCTGAAAGAAGAGCTGTAGAGGCAGCCATACTCCTGGTGGAATGAGCCCTTACAGCCAAAGGTGAAGGCTGATGGGCCGAACCGTAAGCAAGCGAGATAGCCTCGACCACCCACTTGCTCATCCTTTGCTTAGATGCAGGACACCCTCTCTTAGGTGACCCAAAACAGACAAACAGTTGTTCCGATCTCCTCCACAGAGCAGCTCTGTGGACATACGCATCTAAAGCCCTAACAGGGCACAGCAAATTAAGTTTCCTCTGGTCTGACGTCAGAAAAGGCGGAGGACAGAAAGCCTGCAGAACTATAGGTCTAACCAAAGTGGTTGGCACCTTAGGAACATAACCTGGTCTCGGACAGAGAAAGGCCTTAACCATACCAGGAGCAAATTCCAGGCACGAGGGAGCCACCGAAAGTGCTTGAATATCACCAATCCTTTTTAGAGATGAAATAGCAAGAAGAAGGATAGTCTTAAGAGTAAGAAACTTTTCCGAAACTTCCTCGATGGGCTCAAAAGGAGCAAGGGAGAGACCTTCTAAGACGATGGCCAGATCCCAAGCTGGTACCCTTGTGCGAACTGCAGGCCTCAGCCTCAGGGTGCCACGAAGGAAGCGAGATATAAGTGGGTGTTTCCCGAGGGAACCTCCACTTGAAGGGGCGTGGTAAGCAGCTAAGGCCGCCACATACACCTTCAGTGTGGAGTGGGATAACCCTGTGGAGAGACGGTCCTGCAGGAAATCCAGCACTGTACCAACCGGGCAGTTAACTGGGTCCTGCTGGCGCTCTCCACACCAAGAGGTGAAAAGCTTCCACCTCGCGGCATATAACTTCCTCGTGGAGGGAGCTCTGGATTGGAGGATGGTCTCAACGACCTCAGCCGAGAGACCAGAATCTATGAGCTGGGCCCCCTCAGAGGCCAAGCCCACAGCCTCCATAGCTCTGGACGGGGGTGAAGGATCGACCCACTCGCCTGAGAGAGCAGGTCTCTCCTGATCGGTATCTCTAGGGGAGAGCCGTCGAGGAGAGACACTAGGTCCGAAAACCATACTCGGGCCGGCCAGAACGGGGCTATAAGCAGGAGACTGAGCCCGTCCCGGCGAACCCTCTCCAGAACTCCTGGGAGCAGAGCGATCGGGGGAAAAGCGTACAGGCGTGACCTCGGCCACGGATGTACCATAGCATCCAACCCCAGTGGGGCTGGCTGGCTGAGAGAGAACCACAGTGGACAGTGTGATGTCTCTCGGGACGCAAATAGGTCTACCTCGGCACGACCGAAATGTCCCCATAGGAGCTCCACCACCTCGGGGTGAAGACTCCACTCCCCGGGCCTCGGCCCCTGCCTCGACAGGATGTCTGCCCCCTGATTCAAATACCCCGGGAGATAAATAGCTCTGAGAGAGAGAATTTTCCCCTGGGACCATAGAAGGATCTGACGTGCCAGTTTGTAAAGCGGGCGAGAACGCAGACCCCCCTGATGGTTGATGTAAGAGACCACCGATGTGTTGTCTGTCCGGACAAGAACATGGTGGCCTCTTAGGTCTGGGAGGAAATGTTTCAGGGCCTGAAACACTGCCAACATCTCTAGACAATTTATGTGCCATAGACGGTGATGGTCCCCCCACAGACCCTGAGCCGGGCGACCACTCATGATCGCCCCCCAACCCGTGAGAGAGGCATCTGTCGTTAGCGTAACGCGACGACAAGGAGCTCCCAACACAGGGCCTTGGGACAGAAACCAAGGATCTTTCCACATAACCAGGGCGCGATGACACCGTCGCGAACTCATGATCATGCGAAGCGGATTTCCCCTCGGGGAGAATCCCTTGGTTCTGAGCCACCACTGTAACGGTCTCATGTGCAGGAGGCCAAAAGGTATCACGTTGGACGCAGCTGCCATGAGACCTAACAGTCTCTGGAACTGTTTTACAGTGGATGACCGGCCTAGCTTGACTTGATCTACTGTGGCAAGAATCGAAGCAACACGAGCAGGTGACAATTGTGCCTGCATCGTCGTCGAATCCCACACTACACCGAGAAAAGTGGTTCTCTGTAATGGAGAAAGAACACTCTTCTTGGCGTTGAGTCTCAACCCCAACCTCTTGATGTGAGCCAGAACGACATCTCGATGCCGAACCGCCTGTTGTTCCGATTGAGCTAGGATTAACCAATCGTCTATATAGTTCAGAATACGGATGCCCTGCAGCCTGAGCGGAGCTATAGCTGCATCCATACACTTCGTGAACGTGCGGGGTGACAGTGCTAAGCCGAACGGAAGAACCCGATATTGGTACGCTTCGCCCCCGAAAGCGAACCTCAGGAACTTCCTGTGTTGAAGGAGGATAGATACATGGAAGTAAGCGTCCTTTAGATCTATCGTGACAAACCAGTCCTCGGATCTGATTTGTGACACGATCTGTTTGAGAGTGAGCATCTTGAATTTGAGCTTTCCTACAGTGCGATTTAAGACACGCAGATCTAGAATGGGACGCAGCCCTCCATCTTTTTTCGGAACGATGAAGTACCGGCTGTAGTATCCTAACTCCCTGCTGGGTGGAGGAACCCGTTCTATAGCCCCTTTTTGCAGCAGAGTTTTTACCTCCTGTTCTAATACCAGAGCCTGCTCGGGGCCCACCACCGTGGGCAGAACCCCTCTGAACTGAGGTGGACGCGTTCTGAACTGAATAGCGTACCCGTTCTTTATAATATTCAGGACCCACTGAGAAACATTGGGAAGCATTTCCCATTCCGCCAGGAACTCTACTAAGGGAACCAGCCTCTCGAGGCTGGCCTCTGGATGAACATCCCGAGTGACAGACACAGCGCCCTGTAACATACTGGCAGGAAACAGCTGGTCTGAACACTCCACAACCCTCCTCGGAGGGGGCGAGCGTCCCTCGGGAAATCGCTCGCCGAGTCTCTCTACGCCCTGTGTAGGCAGGGTTAGTAGAACAGACCCCTGAGGGCATCGGGAAAGACAGGGCACCGTGTTCTTGTGCGGTGAACTCAAGTCTCTCCCGATGGGGACCACCCTCAGAGTCCTGACGTTCAGCCCGTCAGGATTTTTTCGACGCGGCCTTCCTGGCGACAATGACTGTCCTCAGATCAGTCCTGCCCCGAGAGGGCCGCGCCGGGGAGCGCCCCGCCTCGTCCCTCCAGTTTCCCTGCGGGGGGGCACGAGACGCGACACTCCGCTTCTGCTGTGCTCTTCTTGAAGAGGAAGAACTCGACGGCTGGGACTGCCCTTTTCGCTCAGCAGCCCCAGTGACACGAATCTTGAGAGGGATAAATTTAGAAAAAGCAGCCGCCTGTTTTTTCTCTTCCTGGAACCTCTCCGTGACCGAGTGAAGAGCGTCACCGAAGAGGCCCGCAGGCGAAACAGGAGCATTTAAAAGGAGAGACTTATCTTTTTCTTTCATCGATGTTTGACTCAACCATAAGTGCCTCTCTGTGGCCACCATGGCTGCCATAGATCGACCAACAGATTTCGCGGACTCTCTGGTGGCACGCAGAGTGAGATCAGCAGTCTGCCTAAGTTCGCTAATCATATCAGCCGAAATTTCACCCCCCTCAGAAACATCTTTGAGCAGGTCGGCCTGATAAGCCTGCATAATAGCCATCGTATGCAAACACGCAGCCGCCTGCCCAGCCGCCGAGTAAGCCTTCCCCACCAGCACCGAGGTATTTTTTAGTGGTCTAGATGGAAGAGCCGGCGCTTTAAGTGAAACCGAAGAAGCAGGAGAGAGATAGCTCGCGAGCGTCTCCTCCGCCTTCGGCATCGTCACATAACCAGCAGATTTTGCACCAAAAATGTTACCATAAGCATTAGATTGATTCGTGTAAATTCTGCTAGAAACCGGTCTAACCCAGGTCTTTGAAACTTCAGCATGAAGGTCTGGGAAGAACGGCAAGCACCGGCGAGAAGGTTGAGGTCGTGCAGACAGAAATCTATCATCTAGTTTGCTTTTAATTTTAGAATCCTGTCTATCAGCTGGCCACTCAATACTGAGCCTTTCAACAGCCCGAGATAACACATCCATCAAACCTTCTTCATTTGCAGTATAATGTGTGACACTAGAACCCTCTGATGCAAAACTTTCGACATCCAGATCCTCAGAACTGGATAATCTTAATTCAACATCGTCATATGCCTCCACCTGGGCAGAAGTAACCGCCGCAGCGCGTGCTTCCGAAGCCGGGTGAGAGGCACCGGATCCCGCCGGAGAAAGCTGAGATAGGGCGGGGCCCGTCTCAACATCGCCGGTGAGATCCATCTGCGAACCCCAAGTCAAGCGCCGCCGCTCTGCCTCAACAGAAGCGGGACCCGAGCCTTGGGGAGCTCGCAGCAAACCACTCTCCTCAAAGAGCGATCGCCGCGAGCGCAGAGTTCTAAGAGGAAAGCGTTCGCAATGCTGACAGTCGACTCCCTCGAGAGCCGACTGGGCATGCTGAACACCCAGACAAGCCACACATAACTCGTGTGAATCCCCACCCGTGATATATCGAGTACAGGGGGGAACACACTTTCTATACTGCTCGCTCATATTGGTTTTTTTATATATATATCTATATATAGTGATAAACTCCTGACAGAACAGACAAACACAATCGACAGATTCAGACACACGCACAGAGCTGCTGAAGTGACAAAAAGCTGGCGTGTGGTGTGCTCAGGGGATATTTATAGCTTCCTGGTCTATGACGTCACTCGCCGTACGCTCATTCTCTCCATTGACTGATTTCATTCATGCTTCAGACGCGTCACGCTGGGGGCGTTCCCACTGCGATTACACGCAGCGGTAGTCCCTGAAGGGGAACTAGCGATATCACAAAACGAACATGACAAATGCGACCATTTGTTGGCATTTTTGTTCTTCACTTAAAGATTTAAAACCCAAGCATCTATATTTTACCACATATTTACAATAAAAAGGTGTACATTGATCATAATTAATTAATTTGTGTCAATATTGCACATTAGTCACACAGCAATAAAGTGGTATTTACCGTTATTTCACAAAAGAAAGAGGACACACGTAGCCTGTAATATTTTCAGTCAGAGAAACAAAGGAAGCTCCCGTAAAAGCGGAATTGCTTTATTTTATGACATATGGAGAGCTAAATATGGATAACAGACAGTCCGGTATAAAGAGACGAGACGCACTGACGGATAAAATATAAACACGATTGAGATAGCCTATGTGATTTGTCCGATTTGTTCAAGCGGACATATTTACCATGTTTACTATGGTAATGATCACAAACAGAAGGTATTCAAACACTCGCTGCGGTCTGAAAGTGAGTTTTGATGTAAAATGATTTTAAAAGTCGTTAAGGCTGATTAGCTGGTATATGAAATCATACGCAGCGCTGGCGTCTCCAGTCTCAGATAAACTCCAGCTTTGTTCGTAACCACTCCTCAAGCCCGAGATGGCCCGCAAAAAAATCCTGGGCCATTGGCTCCAAGCAAGCCCCGACGAAGCCCGATCAAGCCCTGAAAGTGATTTGTTGAAACTCTACTGGCCCTGGCATGCACTAGCACGCAAGGTTTTTTTTGCCCGACAGTGGAAACGCGGCTTTTGATTAAGAAATATCACGAATTCCTGCACACCCCTGCAGAAAAATCCAGCATAAATCAACACTAATTCCATGATGGTCCAGTCTGGTTTATGATGATTAGAGCTGGTAAAATGTTGGTCTAGCTGGTGGACCAGCTTAGTCAAGCTGCTTTCAAGCATAACTGAGCTGGTCCACCAGTACTCCCACTTCCCATGCCGGGGAGGAGCAAATCAGCAACTAACATACCATGCTGGACCCAGCATGCAAAACATAGCTTGTGCTGGTGACTTTTCAGCAGGGACACTCAAGAGTTTAGCAAGCCCTTTCATCAATGCATAATTTGGACAAGGCTCCTCACCTGATGAGGTAACACTGGGCCCAGCTCCTGGCGACACCTCCACCGCCCCTTCTCTCTGGGGACTGTCCTCTGAGGACGACTCCCTCCACTGAACCGACCCGTCTCCTGGCTCCCTGATCTCTGGACTCTGCATCGAGTCCGAGACGGATTCAAAAGCACTGTTCTCTTCCTCCTCTTCCTCCTGCGAGGAGAAGACAGTGCTCTCCGACAGGCGTGTGCTGTCGACCGAAGAGAGACGTGTGTGGCTGCACAGGTGGTTACGACCCTCGTAACCCGAGTTACTGTAACAGGAAGTGCTGTAACAGGAAGTGCTGTAGCAGGAAGTGCTGTAGCAGGAGTTGTCACACAGTTCACACTCACTCACTCGAGGATCCCTTCTGCTTACACACACTTCCCCGTCTTCGCTGTCCGGCCGAAGGGTGCGAGGTGAGGGTCTTTCCCCCTCCAGGAGTTGGTTGAGTTCGGACAAGCGCTCGATGGAGAGGCTACGTGGTAAGGTACGCCTGCAACACGGTCTAGGACACTCGGGCACGATTGACGGAGACTGAGCTTCAGACACCTCATCTTCATCCTCCTCTTTGTCCTCTTGGGGTTTGACAGTGATTTCCTCTGATTCTGGATCAAGAACTTCGTCTTCATCTTGGCTGTCATGGTGGCATTGAGCTGACGGCAAGCTGTGCAGCAAATGATGAATGCGGATGTAGTGAGACCGTGGCGTCTCGGGTTCTTCACAGGCTGAGGCGATGACTGTCTCTAATTCGGACACTGGAAGCGAACAGGGTCGGCTTTTTCGCTTCAAGGCACCTCGCATCCTTGGGGAACAGGGTTCTTCCTCATTCCCATCTCCTTCCACCCTTGTGTCAACATGCTCTGAGCTTCTCTCAATCTCTGCATGCTCTCCAGTTGCTCCCATTTCATCTCCACATGTGTCTTCAGCATCATGGTTCTCCAGTTCCTCCAAAGGAGTCTCAGTCACAGTTTCATTGGACTCTATTTTTCCAGGGTCTTGCTCCTCAGTTTCTCCTTGAGTGGCATCACTCAATAGTGTCTCTCCTTGAGCTGTTACAAGCTCATCGGCTGATCCTTCAGCTTCCGGTTGGGGATCAGCTATTGAAGTAAGCAGCACAGCATCTTGGGTCTCTACTTCGAGAGGACTTTCGGCAGGCGGCTCCTGGATGTCAGGTCCCAAACTCAATGCATCTTCCATAGGCAGATCAGAAGCTCCTGGTTGGTCCTCGTCGGGCTCCAGCTCAGCCTCCTGGTCAGGTACCACATCAAACACTGGCATTGCATTGAGGGATACTTCTTCATCATCTACAAAGGAGAACAAACAAATCTCTCAGTACGGTTAAACAGACCAGCTATGAAATACCACAAGAAACCATTAGCAATAATCAGTACTTGTGTAGAAATTTCCTGTCTTAAAGGCCCGGTTTAAACCTGGTATTAAGACGCATTTTGGTTGATCAGATCACAAGTAGACGAGGGACACACATTCCTGTTTACAAATGGTGTTTTAATCCGCATCTTTTGTCCACTTTTGGCCTGATTTCTTCGAGGGCAGGGTCTATGAGCGGGAAAATATGGATTTTTTCAGATCTTTCGATCCAATGGATGAAATAAGCTCACACAATTTACATATGAACACAACTGGAGAAAACAGAAAAGCATACAGAGAGCAGCTCTGATAGCTGCAAGATCAGAAAGCATGGTGAGAGAACATTGTGCTTGGTACGTTTCTGCAAATCAATCTTGGGTCTTCAGTCGACAAAGTTTAAATCCTGTTTGGCTAGAGCGCTTCCCATAATGTTCACGCATTAGGTCAGTAGACGTGTAGACGTCTTTTGTTCTCTTACGAGAGTATCTCTCGTACTGCGTAATAGCTTACGCTAGGGGAAAAACTCTTTTCCACGAGATATTGAAGCCAAAAATTATCCTTAATTTTTTATTAATGTAAAACGCTTTGCAGCAGCAAGCAGACATAGGCGAAACAGCTCGCGCGCCTATTGGTTGCTCTGCAGCAAATGCAGCAGCCTATCGAGAGAGACTCTGCGTGACGTAATGACCAATGGGGGCAATTCGCGCCCATATCGTCACGTCCCGCCAGAAGGGGCGTGGTCTCACCCTATAAATATGCTCGTTAGGCTGGTACAAGCTGATTTTTATCTCTTCAGCGACGCACACGCATCGCTGGATCCGGAGTGAGAAGCCGCGCCGTCGAAGCAAGCCTTTCAGCGGGACGAGCTCTGGAGTCGCTGGCCTCGCCGCCTTCAACTGCCATACCTGCTGCGCTTTCCGGCGTTCTATATCCTTTTATACTCTGTGTGTATTTACTCTGTTGAGAGTGTTTGCTCGCTTACTTGACGCGACTCACACTTCTCTCACAAAAGAGCTGCGTCTTTTTAAAGATGCCTTCCTGTGGCTCGTGCCGCGCCCCGCTCAGCGATGGAGACCGGCACGTCATCTGTGTTTCCTGCCTGGGTGAGGATCACGCGGCTCTCGCGCTCGCTGACGGCGGATGCCCTCATTGCGAGCTTTTGCCTATGGTGACTCTGAGGACTCGCCTGGCATCATTCTCCGAGCCTTCACCGCAGCCAGCCGCGGTGCCGCGCCGCAAGAAGCGCCGCGCCCAGCGCGCTCCCGAGCTTTCTCCAGCCCGCCAAAGCTCGCCGGTTCGCCCGCCAGCTTCGCCGGCTTCGCTCGAGTCGCTCACTGACGGACACCGGCCGCCGCCTGCCGCCGCGTCCATCCACGAGTTTGACGAACCCACCGAGGCGTGTTCTCTTCTGGCATCCGATAGCGAGGATTGGGCGAGCTCCGTGGACCTCCCCTCCGCTAGCGTTTCCCTCCAGACCACTGGTAAGAGAGCCGGCATTGAGACTGAGCTGATGCGTCTGCTCTCTCAGGCCGTGGAAAGCATCGGCCTCGACTGGGAGGCGCCCGCGCAACCGCCGCGCAACAGGCGAGCTCTGTGGACCTCCGCCTTCTGTCCGCGAGTCGTCAAGGAAACGGGCCAGCATCAAGACCGCGAGCCCTAAAACCGCGGCTAGCTTTCTTTACGTTATAAGAAATCTACCCCGCCCCCCATGGGCGTGCGTCACCGGCAAATGAGAAAAGAGTGTGTTTTAGTCCCCGCCGAGGCCGGACTAATCTCCATTTCTCAAACATTTCTCAGCTCCTAGTTTGAGCGGCTGAAAATGTCATTATTGCAGCAATGAGCCTGTTGTATAACACGCACACCTGTATACAAACGCCGACACACACAAAACTGTGATGACGCTCTCTTATCTGCTTGCGCTAGTGTAGTTCTCCCTGTGGCCCAGTGGCGGAACCCGAAGCTTTCATGCGGGAGACCCGTGTTCGATCCCGGCTCTCGCAGCAGATAAAAGTTTAGTCTCGCCGCGGCCAGACTTCCACCGAAACTTTTCGCTCGTTCAGTTCCAGAAAATGTGACTGTTCCAGTGTATTTTGCAGTAAACAAGCTGGTACCACGGCCCGCTTGCCTGCACATAAAGGCCGTTTCCACGGCGACCCAGAAAAATCATGTAATCATTGTATTTCTGGTTTTCCGGCCACAGCCGATGGTGTTATAAGTGTAATAAAATGCTCACAGCCCAGTGTTCATTTCTACACACAAACACAGCCCCCCACGGTACAGGGCTCGCACAAATGAAATCGACGCATGTCAATTGTGCATTAAATGTAGTAAATGTGCCCACAACCCAGTGCCCACAAACACTACCACGGTTTCTGTAAAACGAAACCAACACAAGTCTTCCTAGCCTCCTAGGAAATTGACGGTGTTTCAGTCTCGCCGTGGCCAGACTTCCACTGAAATTTTCGCTCGTTCAGTTCCAGAAAATGTGACTGTTCCAGTGTATTTTGCAGTAAGCAAGCCAGTACCATGCCCGCTTGCCTGCACACAAATGCTGTTCCCACGGCGACCCAGATAAATCACATAAATGGTGTATTTTCTGGTATTCCGGCCACAGCCAATGGTGTTATGAGTGTATTGAAAATGCCTACAACCCAGGGCTCATTTCTACACACAAACACAGCCCGCAAAAATGCAGGGCTCGCACAAACAAAATCGCCTCATGTCGATTGTGCACTAAATGTAGTGAATGTGCCTACGTCTCAGTGCCCACAAACGCTACACACCACATGTCCCACGGGTTCTGTGAAAACGAAACCAACACGCATTCAGTCAGCTCAGGCCGACGGTGTTTTTCAGTGCAGTAAATGTGCCCGCTGTCCTGCGCCCACATTCACTCACAGACATGTTAAGCCCCACGGGGCTCGCCCCGCTCTCTCTCCCTCAGCAAACTGCTATAAGGGTTTTGAGCGCGGCCAGGCTGCCCGCCGCGATCGGCGCGCCCCCCGCCTCACACACTGTAAACACAGTGTCTGCGTTACAGCACGCCGGAGCTCTCTTGCCGTCACTATGTTTCGGCCAGAGCCCAGATCTCATTCTACCCCTAGCTATTCACGCGAAAGTGTGGGCACAGCTTCCTGGGGTATCAGAATGGGTACTGAACACTATATAAAGAGGCTATTCGCTACAGTTCGCTCGACGTCCCCGCCGCTATACGGCGCGCGTCGAGACGACGGTGGAAAACGAAGTATCTCATCTACTTCGAGCCGAGATAGCGAAACTACTGAGCAAAGGCGCTATAGAACCTTTATCTCAAGCTCAGAGCAAAGGGGGCCTACACAGCAGATATTTTCTGGTACCGAAAAAAGATGGAGGTCTCGGACCCATTTTAGATCTGCGACAGCTGAACAGAGCGCTTGTGAAGCGCCAGTTCAGAATGCTTACGACCAGGAAAATCCTCGCGCAAGTGCGCCACGGGGAGTGGTTTATGTCAATAGATCTGAAAGACGCCTATTTCCAAATACAAATAGCGTCCCATCACAGGCGATTCTTGAGATTCGCCTTCGAGGGCCAGGCATATCAATACACAGTCCTGCCGTTCGGCCTGTCCCTAGCACCTCGTACATTTACGAAGTGCATGGACGCGGCGCTCGCACCCCTGAGACTTCAGGGCATGCGAGTCCTGAACTACTTGGACGATTGGCTGATTCTAGCTCGATCACGATCGGAGCTCATAGAACACAGGGCCGCATTACTCGAGCACCTCGAGGAGCTGGGCCTCACAGTCAATTGGGCGAAGAGCTCACTGTCTCCCAGTCAGAAAATTTCCTTTCTGGGTACCATGTTGGACTCGCTGTCCATGACAGCACGCCTGTCACCAGAGCGCGGGCTAAATATTCAGCGCGGCGCGAAATCCTTCCGCCACGGCGCGATAGTTCCGCTCAAAAGGTTTCAGAAAATGCTGGGGCTGACGGCCTCAGCGGCCTCTGTACTCCAGTGGGGCTTGCTCCGCATGCGCCCACTGCAGATGTGGCTGAAAGCGCGGGTTCCACCCAGGGCATGGACAGCGGGTCTGTTTCGCCTCAGGGTCGACCTTCAGTGTGTTTCAGCTCTGGAACCTTGGAAAATAACCGACTGGTATCAGTCAGGGGTGAGTCTGGGGACCGCTTCGAGTGTGAAGGTGGTGTCTACGGACGCCTCCACCTCGGGGTGGGGAGCGCTGCTCGAGGGCAGACCGCTAGCTGGCCTGTGGTCAGAACGGGAAAAGCTCCTTCACATAAACTGCTTGGAGATGATAGCAGTCGACAAAGCGCTACGGCGTTTTTGTCCCCAGGTAACAGGCCACCACGTCTTGGTCCGGTCGGACAACATGTAGTAAATGTGCCCACAACCCAGTGCCCACAAACACTACCACGGTTTCTGTAAAACGAAACCAACACAAGTCTTCCTAGCCTCCTAGGAAATTGACGGTGTTTCAGTCTCGCCGTGGCCAGACTTCCACTGAAATTTTCGCTCGTTCAGTTCCAGAAAATGTGACTGTTCCAGTGTATTTTGCAGTAAGCAAGCCAGTACCATGCCCGCTTGCCTGCACACAAATGCTGTTCCCACGGCGACCCAGATAAATCACATAAATGGTGTATTTTCTGGTATTCCGGCCACAGGCAATGGTGTTATGAGTGTATTGAAAATGCCTACAACCCAGGGCTCATTTCTACACACAAACACAGCCCGCAAAAATGCAGGGCTCGCACAAACAAAATCGCCTCATGTCGATTGTGCACTAAATGTAGTGAATGTGCCTACGTCTCAGTGCCCACAAACGCTACACACCACATGTCCCACGGGTTCTGTGAAAACGAAACCAACACGCATTCAGTCAGCTCAGGCCGACGGTGTTTTTCAGTGCAGTAAATGTGCCCGCTGTCCTGCGCCCACATTCACTCACAGACATGTTAAGCCCCACGGGGCTCGCCCCGCTCTCTCTCCCTCAGCAAACTGCTATAAGGGTTTTGAGCGCGGCCAGGCATATCAATACACAGTCCTGCCGTTCGGCCTGTCCCTAGCACCTCGTACATTTACGAAGTGCATGGACGCGGCGCTCGCACCCCTGAGACTTCAGGGCATGCGAGTCCTGAACTACTTGGACGATTGGCTGATTCTAGCTCGATCACGATCGGAGCTCATAGAACACAGGGCCGCATTACTCGAGCACCTCGAGGAGCTGGGCCTCACAGTCAATTGGGCGAAGAGCTCACTGTCTCCCAGTCAGAAAATTTCCTTTCTGGGTACCATGTTGGACTCGCTGTCCATGACAGCACGCCTGTCACCAGAGCGCGGGCTAAATATTCAGCGCGGCGCGAAATCCTTCCGCCACGGCGCGATAGTTCCGCTCAAAAGGTTTCAGAAAATGCTGGGGCTGACGGCCTCAGCGGCCTCTGTACTCCAGTGGGGCTTGCTCCGCATGCGCCCACTGCAGATGTGGCTGAAAGCGCGGGTTCCACCCAGGGCATGGACAGCGGGTCTGTTTCGCCTCAGGGTCGACCTTCAGTGTGTTTCAGCTCTGGAACCTTGGAAAATAACCGACTGGTATCAGTCAGGGGTGAGTCTGGGGACCGCTTCGAGTGTGAAGGTGGTGTCTACGGACGCCTCCACCTCGGGGTGGGGAGCGCTGCTCGAGGGCAGACCGCTAGCTGGCCTGTGGTCAGAACGGGAAAAGCTCCTTCACATAAACTGCTTGGAGATGATAGCAGTCGACAAAGCGCTACGGCGTTTTTGTCCCCAGGTAACAGGCCACCACGTCTTGGTCCGGTCGGACAACATGTCAGTGGTGGCATACATGAATCGCCAGGGCGGCGTCAGGTCACGAAACCTTCACAGGCTGACGGAACGCCTCCTGGTCTGGGCTCAGCACAACCTGCTCTCACTGAGAGCAGCGCACGTGCCTGGTCACCTGAATGTGGGACCAGACAGACTGTCCAGGAACAATGTTCCAGCAGGGGAATGGTCGCTGCACCCGCAGACGGTCCAGCTGCTGTGGAAAACGTTCGGCAGAGCACAGGTGGACCTATTCGCGTCCCACGAAAACGCTCATTGCCCGGAGTTTTTCTCGAAAAGCAAGGACGCGCTGGCTCATGTTTGGCCCCGCTGCCCCCTATATGCTTTTCCTCCTGTCTCGCTCCTGCCTCAGGTGTTGGAACGAATCAGGGAGAACGGATGCCCAGTGCTGCTCGTAGCTCCGCTCTGGACAAACCAGACGTGGTTCCCTGCCCTGATGCAGCTGACCAGCAGTGCCCCATGGCCTGTACCATTAAGGAGAGACCTCCTCTCTCAGGCGGAGGGCTCGATTTGGCACCCTCGCCCGGAGTTGTGGTCCCTGCATGCATGGGCCATCAACGGGTACCCGCTAGCCTCCCAGAAGGAGTGTTAAACACGATCGCGCAGGCTAGAGCTCCGTCTACCAGGCGGCTCTACTCCTCGAAGTGGTCTGTTTTCTCTGCATGGTGTCAAGCCCAGAGCTTTTCACCTGTGGAATGCGGGGTTTCGGAAGTGTTTTCCTTCCTTCAAGAGCTACTGGATAAGGGCAGGACCCCATCCACGCTCAAAGTATATGTGGCGGCCATAGCAACGTTTGCAAAACCGGTGTCTGGCCAGTCGCTGGGGAAAAACGACTTAGTCGTGCGTTTCCTTAGGGGAGCTCAGAGGCTGAACCCTCCCAGGCCCCCTTCAGTCCCGACGTGGGACCTTTCCACGGTCCTGGAGGCCATGAAAGGCGCCCCGTTCGAGCCAATCCAGCTGGTGGACATGAAACACCTGTCGTTCAAAACAGTGTTTCTCATGGCTTTCGCTTCAGTGAAGCGCATAGGGGACTTACAGGCGCTTTCAGTAAGCGCGTCGTGTATGGAGTTTGGGCCTAATGACTCGAAGGTCATTCTCAAACCAAAGCACGGGTATGTCCCGAAATCCCTCAATACACCGTTCAGGGCCCAGGTAATTTCCCTGTCCGCCCTTCCGGTTCTCAGTGAGGAGGAGGATGCGAGTCTCCTTTGCCCCGTCAGGGCATTGTGTCAGAGCGAGAGGCGTGGCCTCTTCGTGGGCGTGGTCGAGCGGGGTTTCCCTGCAAGATATCTGTATGGCCGCGGGCTGGGCCTCGCCGTCTACGTTTATAAAATACTATAACCTGGAGGTACCCGCCTTACAAGCTAAGCTTTTGGCGGTCTAAAATTCAGTGCTATCTGCCCCGCTGTGCGGCCCAGATGCTGAGTTTACTGCAGCCCCATGAGTGTTGACACACGTATGGCCACCCAGATCAGGCTGAAAGCTTTCACCCTGGCTGCGCGTTTTATTGTCATATGATAGCCCCGCTGGGTGCTTTTTTATAGGGAATGACGCTTCCAGCCTCTCTTCCTTTACTCTATGTGAGTTTATGGTGATTATGCACTACATGAGCCCTGGGTATCACCCTGGTATGCACTACATGAGCCCTGGGTATCGCTCTGGTTCGCTGAAGCGAACCAGAGCGTATTCCAAGCACGGCAATATACTGCGTATCTTGCCGTGCTTGGAATACGCTCTGGTTCGCTTCAGCGATAAAAACCAGCTTGTACCAGCCTAACGAGCATATTTATAGGGTGAGACCACGCCCCTTCTGGCGGGACGTGACGATATGGGCGCGAATTGCCCCCATTGGTCATTACGTCACGCAGAGTCTCTCTCGATAGGCTGCTGCATTTGCTGCAGAGCAACCAATAGGCGCGCGAGCTGTTTCGCCTATGTCTGCTTGCTGCTGCAAAGCGTTTTACATTAATAAAAAATTAAGGATAATTTTTGGCTTCAATATCTCGTGGAAAAGAGTTTTTCCCCTAGCGTAAGCTATTACGCAGTACTCGTTCCCTCTCTAGAGAGAACCAAGGTTACGTTAGTAACCGAGTACGTTTCTGTTTGAACACATTCGGACACATGAGCGTTTTCACTACAAAAGCAATCCGGTTAAATGCATTTTCGACTACCTCTGGAAGTGGTCGAAATGGGACAAGCTAAAAATGTTTTAGATAAGGTACAAAGTTGTCCTTTTAAGGTTTCTGCCACAGTCTCTTTCCCATACAATAAAACTACCAGTGATTGGTGACTGAGGGACCAGGGTCTCCAAGAAGGACAACAGTACAGTAAAGCACTGTAAACATGGTCCATATAAGTCTCTCCAGCACAACTCTCAGGTCTCATTGCCGACTTGGCTTATTTTTGACAGTTTTTAAGACAGTTTTTATTGTTGAGTGAACAACTCCTGTAGGTTATGGTAGCTATACTTTTGGAAATATTAAAGTCCCCCTGTAGTCAATAATTTTATCCCTTAAAACTTATCTTTGATCACCAAAATTACAGATTTTTCCTTGAAAATGTTTTCTTCATGCCTTAAAATAGCTTGGATGTAACTCGACACCCTTGCCTTATTTAGTATGAGCGATGGTTCTATGAATATGCAAATGAGCCCCGCCTCCACTCACTCACTCAGCTCAGAGATCCACTGGTTGACGATCACACGTTGATCTGATTGGTTACAAGGTCGTTTGTGACGTCAGAAACACCAGCGATTTCAAACCGTGTTTTTGAGACTGTCTTTGGTTCACTGCAGTTTTAAGCAGAAAATACTCAGCAATGCTGTCGACTTATGAACTTACACATGGTTTGTCTTAAAGCATATTAAAAACACCACATAGTCACATAAACAACATTAAAAGCTGGATTTTCACCACAGGGGGACTTGAAGCATTGTGGATGACCGCTGTAGTACTGCTAGCCTTTAGTTCAAACGGTACAGCATGTCAGGATTTGTACGGTTAGTTTTGCTTATGTTGGGAGAAAAGCAGATACAGTAGTAAACATCCTACAGACCTGGATGAATTGATGAGGTTATCTCAAAACGAAACTGCAACTGGCCGCTGACATGATCTGTTGGGAGCCGTCGGCCTAAAGTGTAACTCACCACACGGTCCCTGTTCACACAGAGACAAGAAAGACAAGGATGCTTGACATTTGGGAAATTAACCAGAAAATAAATCTTTAGGCACACCAAAAACCTCTCTGTGCATTGTCTTTTAAATTAAAGTACCTATTTGTAAACATTAACATATTTCTAGGTCTATGAAAACTGGAATCCTGGAGGACAAACATGCACAAATGGACCAGTAGTTTGAGAAACAAGTCAATAATTAGAGTGTAATCACAGTCCTCAGCAGGCTCACAGTCAGATAATTAATGTATGTTAAATGATTATTTAGTGGAGACCTACCCGATAGCATTCTTCTCCAGCAGCCTCTGTACAGGCACGACCAACTTTCCCAGAAAGCGTTTGATGATGGGTCTGCTCTTGGCAAATTTATCTTTTACCTCAATCTCCAAAACGTCCGTCGGCAGGGACACAAAGCTAAATCTCTGTGAATACAAAATCAAAGAAGACTGCTCAGATCTAAATCCAGAGATTTGTGTTAACCGCTGATATTCCCTCCAGTTCCTTCTCTTTGTTCTGCATGATTTACATTGTATTACATTAAGTTTGATACCTCGAGGAAATCTGATGGTTCTGAAGTACACACGGACTGGAAATATGTTACATATGTTGCTGCATTCCTGACCTCCTCAAATGGCTAATCATTTATTAGATTTATAACAATTATGTATTTTGTGAAGATTATTATTATTATTTTTTACAATTTTCATGTTTTATTTTTATTAAATTAAATTCATAGTTAAAAAAATAAATGAAAATAAATAAAATAAATAATAACTAAATATCAAAATAAAAATAAACAAATAAAAATAGATAAATAAATAAATAAATAAAAATAAACAAATAATGAAAATAAATAAATATAAATACATAAATAAAAATAAATAAATACATAAATAAAACATATTTAAAAAAGAATGAATGAATGAATATTTTATTTAAAAATTCTTACAAAATTAATCAAATTCATAGTTAATAAATAAATAAATGAAAATAAATAAAATAAATAACTAAATATCAAAATAAAAATAAACAAATAAAATAGATAAATAAATTAATAAAAATAAACAAATAAATGAAAATAAATAATATAAATACATAAATAAAAATAAATAAATACATAAAACATATTTAAAAAAGAATGAATGAATGAATATTTTATTTTAAAATTCTTACAAAATTAATCAAATTCATAGTTGTTAAATAAATAAATTAAAAAATAAATAAAATATTAAATAAAATAAAAGTAAACAAATAAAAATACATAAATAAATAAATATAAATAAATAAATATAAATAAATAAATAAATATAAATACATAAATAAAATATATTTAAAAAAAAGAATGAAAAAAGAATGAATGAATGAACGAACAAACAAATGAATGTCCCCTTGACTTATCAGGATATAAGTCTGTATGCGATACGCAGTGTTCTCTCCACTCAGGGATGCTGCATCCTGGCCGGAGTCCATGGGAAACTGCAGTGCTGACGGTGTGTGTGAAAGCACAGGCCTGGAGTGTATTGTTCCCTGAGGCAGTAAACCGAGGCGGCACGACTCGTGTTCAAGGAGGAACAGGGTCTTTTAGGACAGCGCCACACAAGCCCAAACTCAGCAGATTCTGCAATCACAATGACATTAAACCCCTGCCCATCACATCTGAATCCACAGGACTGCAAACACATCGTGCTAGTTAGAGACGGTCTGCAACTGCGTGAAGGAGTGGGAGATAACAAACACAAGCAGAGAACAACTGCTGGCTCTGTCCGAAGCCGTTTTGTTGAGATGTTCAGGGGTTGTGTGTTTATTTTACAGCTCTCTGAAAGAGAGAACGCTTACAGTCTACAGAAACGCATTTAATGCAGTCGAGTCAACAAACAGGTTTAATTAAAAAAACACCAATAATAATAGCATGGAGTCACTATGTTTTTAGATATAGCACAGTAATATAGCATAACCAGATTTTTAACAGTCAAACTTGAACTTAATCAAATGCAAATAATACAGATTTTTCTCAAAAAATTGTTTCTAAAAGATGTCTCTTCACCAAAGCTGCATTTATTTGATCAAAATACAGTAAAATCAGCAATATTGTGTCATATTATCCTTAATGTTTTTGTGTGATACACTTTTTTCAGGATGTTTTGATAAATATAATTTTCAAGGCGTTTATTTGACGATTGCAGTGTTTATTGTAAATTATTTATGGGTGCACATCCTCATTATAGTGTTAATAATGTTGAATGAGAATCAGTTCCTCTTGCAGCATCTCTTCTCTTCTCTGATGATGTGGGCGGGGCTATAACCTGTCACTCACATGAGATCAGCCAATAGCAAACCACAACCATCCAATCAGGTCCCCACAGACACAATCAAGCCCCGCCCACATGTGTTCTTGTTCCAGAAGCGTTTCACTCGGATATACGACACAATAGAGGAGAAAAGACGAGCGCAACTTCCCTTTCATGAAGACTTTAAAGCATCCTTGCAAAAAAAAAAAAAAAATCTTAACACTAACCACAAACTTTTGAATGGTAGTGTGTGTGCTATTGTTTTAAGTACCATGGCATGCTATATAAATATCATAAGGATAATCATATTGTAATTACTCAGTGTAATGATATCAAAATACCAACATACTCCACGGTGATTTTTTTGTTTTTAGTTTTTTTGTAATTGTTGGCTAATACAACAGCAAGTCTGTATTTTTGGTACTATGTAAAATGTGATGCAATGCAAGATTATTTTCCAAAATGCACAGATTGTATTTGGCAACACAGTCCAGGTTTCTGAACCGAACTGCAGGATCTGTGACTGTAGGGCAGGAGTTAAAACATCCGACGCCAGCAGAAGCAGTAAAACACTTCCAACATGTCCATTAATAAATCAGAGAGAATAAGAGCTTGTTCTGCGGTCAAACAAGGTCCACTGACCAGGAGCTGAGGAATAAAGATCAACTCCCACACTCGATGTGCGATATAAATAGTAATGTAAACAGACACATTGTAAGTGTGTGTGATTAGTGAATGAGACCCAGTGTGTCTGTAGGTTTCGAAGCTTTAGTGCTGCAGAAAGACACTGAGCAGGAATAAAAAGAGCCCAGAACGTGGTTTTGGATTTATAGAATAAAACACCCAAAATAAACACAAAACCCATTAGGTCTGTCCCTCGATCAGCACAAGAGTTCACATCCAATCTCAAGTGGAAAGAGTATTCTATATTCGCACATTAGGAGAAGATTTAAGCTGGTACATGTTATTATTGACCAAATAATACGATCTTGGCAAACATATTGATTCATACTAACACGTTTCTACTCATCATATGCCAAAATGATTGCAGTGCAAACCTATTTATGCTGTTATTAATCACATCTGGGTGACATTTAGCATATTCATGATGTTTGCAATGATTTTGTGGGCAATATGAAGTTAGGCAACAAACCAAATTGGTCAGTCGGTTGCAGTAGTACGACAGTCTTAACGTTTTAAATTGAAATCTTGAACAGCAAAAAGGAAATGCATTTAAGAAGTGGAATTCATTTCCAATCGTTTTTTTTTTTTTTTTTAAATATGTCCAATGAAGTATTTTACAATGTTTCCAAAAGGTAAATATTGTAGTTTCTTACAGAGTTGTTAAATTGGTACATAAATAACAAATGACAAAACATTCTATTTATTAATGTATCAAAACATACAGGAGATTCCAAAAGTCTGAGACCACATAAAAAATATGCGATTCAATATTTAATTTAAACATGGAAATAAATGTTGAAAAATATATACAATTAGTAATTTAAGATTTATTATATTTTTATATTACATTGTATTATACAATATATTTAAATATTACATAAATATTTAATAGTAATATTTAAATATTTACTATTCATATTTTTAATTAATAATATTTAAGATACTATTATTACTGTGTCATTAATTAAATAAGAAGATATGTGTCAGTGATCATGTGACTTTGGTCAGTCTTTGAACATGATTATCAGGTTTTATACTGTAAACTTGAATCCATCAGTGCTGAAAAGACTCAGGTGTGTGAAAGACACAGGTGTGTGAAAGACGCAGGTGTGTGAAAGACTCAGGTGAGTGACAGACTCAGGTGTGTGACAGACACAGGTGTGTGAAAGACTCAGGTGTGTGAAAGACTCAGGTGTGTGACAGACTCAGGTGAGTGAAAGACACAGGTGAGTGACAGACACAGGTGTGTGAAAGACACAGGTGTGTGACAGACTCAGGTGTGTGAAAGACACAGGTGTGTGAAAGACACAGGTGTGTGACAGACTCAGGTGTGTGAAAGACACAGGTGAGTGACAGACACAGGTGTGTGAAAGACACAGGTGTGTGACAGACTCAGGTGTGTGAAAGACACAGGTGTGTGAAAGACACAGGTGAGTGACAGACACAGGTGTGTGAAAGACACAGGTGTGTGACAGACTCAGGTGTGTGAAAGACACAGGTGTGTGAAAGACACAGGTGTGTGACAGACTCAGGTGTGTGAAAGACACAGGTGAGTGACAGACTCAGGTGTGTGACAGACGCAGGTGTGTGAAAGACACAGGTGAGTGAAAGACTCATGTGAGTGAAAGACACAGGTGTGTGAAAGACACAGGTGTGTGAAAGACACAGGTGTGTGACAGACTCAGGTGAGTGAAAGACACAGGTGAGTGAAAGACACAGGTGAGTGAAAGACACAGGTGAGTGAAAGACACAGGTGAGTGAAAGACTCAGGTGAGTGAAAGACACAGGTGAGTGAAAGACACAGGTGTGTGAAAGACCCAGGTGAGTGAAAAACTCAGGTGTGTGAAAGACTCAGGTGTGTGAAAGACACAGGTGTGTGAAAGACACAGGTGAGTGAAAGACCCAGGTGAGTGAAAGACCCAGGTGAGTGAAAGACCCAGGTGTGTGACAGACACAGGTGTGTGACAGACTCAGGTGTGTGAAAGACTCAGGTGTGTGAAAGACTCAGGTGTGTGAAAGACACAGGTGAGTGAAAGACACAGGTGAGTGACAGACGCAGGTGTGTGAAAGACACAGGTGAGTGACTGACGCAGGTGTGTGAAAGACACAGGTGTGTGACAGACACAGGTGTGTGAAAGACGCAGGTGAGTGAAAGACGCAGGTGAGTGAAAGACGCAGGTGAGTGACAGACACAGGTGTGTGAAAGACGCAGGTGTGTGAAAGACACAGGTGTGTGAAAGACACAGGTGTGTGAAAGACGCAGGTGTGTGAAAGACACAGGTGTGTGACAGACACAGGTGAGTGAAAGACGCAGGTGAGTGACAGACACAGGTGTGTGACAGACACAGGTTTGTGAAAGACACAGGTGTGTGACAGACGCAGGTGTGTGACAGACTCAGGTGTGTGAAAGACACAGGTGAGTGACAGACACAGGTGTGTGAAAGACACAG